GACAGAGAGGAGCTTTTAGCTGAAATGAGTGCCTGCCTGTGTCCTGATCCGCAGCAATGCGTGGCAGCGACTCATCAGACTGAAAAAAATAGTCCTGAAAGCGAGCTGTGAGCCTCTACTCTGAATTAATTATGAATTAATTATCTGATGAACGTGACATGCTCTGGCTCTCTGTAAATAAAGCAAAGCCACTTCCTCGTCCGACATTAAACAGCCCCACAGAGGAGGGAGGGGAGGCTGTCGCCGTGCAGCGCAGCTGTCCTGCGTCTGACCTCAAAGTGCACAAGCTTCAAACTTCAGCGTTGGCTGCGATTTTGACGCTGAAATCGCGTTCGGTGTGAACGCACCATTAGACTGCTGGAGCACAAACTGAGCACATTTCTTCTCTCTGCTGTTGTATTTAGTCTCTCTTCTCTACATGTTTATTGTAATTATTTCTATCAATAACATGTTTTTTTCTTTTTGTATCTTTTCCAGAAGAAGGTGCACATGGACCAGTCCTGGACCAGTTCTTCTGTGTTTACCTGTGTCTCTTTCCTGACCCACAACTCAGCTGGTCGAGGCAGATGGCCACCTGTCCTGAGCCTGGTTCTGCTGGAGGTTTCTTCCTGATTAGCAGGGAGTTTTTCCTCTCCACCGTTTGCTCAGGATGGGAGACTGTGATGAAGTGATTCAACACAATCTGCAGGCTTCTTCTTTAGATTGTTCTTTTTATGTACAGTGCCCTGAGACAACGAATGTTGTGATTTGGCGCAATATAAATAAACTGAATTGAATTCAATGTTATTTCAGTTTAAAAAAAATATGAGTACTAGCTTTTCTCTCAAAATACTGACAAAACTCTCTTCCAACCAGAGTGCTAGAGTTGAATTTTAACACCTTTCCTCTGACAGAAAACATCAGCTGCAAAATTCATCAGATTAAATTATAAATGTGGGAGTGACTGCAAGTTTGGGATAAAAAAAATGAAAATAAGTATGATGATCTTAGTGAAGGAGGGCAACAAAATAATGTGTACAGCCAAGAATGCCTTTTTACAAGCAAAAATAAATCATAACTTTCAAAAAGTGACCAGTCAAAACAGCGACACATGACTCGTTTGCCACTCAGAGTTCAGTGAGACTGCAATGAGAAATGTGCCACCAATTTGAGTCACAACCTCGTCTTCCAACAGTTGCAGCTCAGTGAGATACTGCCTTAAGAATAGCTCCCACACTGGTGTCAAAATAGAATTACAAGCTTAAACAGACACGTGTGACAACTCTGGGAGAAAATTTGTCACAGGATTTTTTTTTGAACCAGTTTAAAGTTTAGTCAAAAAGACTGCAAAGCTTTTGCTGCTCACACTGGAAACTGAAACACTTCAAACATTTTGAAGATTCTCTCATGAATCCCATTTGCAAATRGGTTTCCAGAAGTCGCTGCCCAGTGAGATACTTGCTTTAAACACTTGCAGCCAGTCATTTTCTGTGCACTCTTTGAGACAATCCTTTTGGGAAAATCATTGTCCTTGCCACAGTTTTTTTTTTTTTGTTGTTATTATTGTCTTAACAGGTTGGATCTCCAAAATAGAAGTGGGACTCTGAGACGAAACAGATGATGGTGTGTTGTTTCAGACAGAAACACACTTTCTGCACACGTACAGATAGGAGAAGCCTGACATTCATTCACATAGACACACACTGAAAGGGAACAATAGACAGAGGTGACACCTGCTTGTGTAATACACCCCCTTTCACCTATTAGAATTCAGTTCAGGGCTCCGTCTGCGTGAGTAGGTTAGCCATGCATGTCATGGCCAAATCCAGTGAATGATAATGAACTGTGTGGATAGCAGTGTTTGTGTGTGTGTGTGTATGTGTGTGTGTGTGTGTATGTGTGTGTGTGTGTGAAAGGAAGGGAGAGAGGAGGTGGCACGCTTGTTGAATCACTCCTTC